TATATATATATATATATATATTTTTATATTGACCTTTCAGCCATTCCTGGCTAACAATACAGAAGTTACAATGATGCGGCTCAGTTGCGCTCATGTTACCGTATCAAATAACATAAAACTGACATTTGGTCTGTACAAAGTAACTTATCTTGGCTGTGTTTAGTTGTCTAGTATTTTGTAAAATACAGTCATATTTCAATTATTATACATTATATATGTATATAGATTATTGGTATTTTGAAATAAGTTCTTAAACTTATTTTTCTTAAAACACAGAACAGTAACTATAGAAGTAAAGCAAACAATTATCACTTCTAGTTACGACCTTTGTACTTGGTTCCTGCTTGACTAAGGTTACTAAGCCTTTGAAAAATTTACACATAGAGGATATGAAACAAAATATTTTTTCTAGGTTTTATATATACATTTGAATAACTGAAAATTCATAAATTAGTACATTAATACCATAGAATTCCACTATAATTTATCAAGCTTAGTAACTAAGATATATTTTAGTCTAAAAAATATGAAATTTTGAGCAGACTACAGACACACCCTACCTCGTTGAAATATTGGGGTACCACTGTATTGGATTTATTACGTGAGCAATATCTTAGCAAATAGAAAAGATAAGACATTCTTATTTTATATTCTAGCTTATCAGTATCAGTAATTTGAGTTTCTAATTCGTAGGAAACAATAGACTTAGTATTTTGACTTCACAAACATCTTACTTGAACCAGTGCTGCATTCAACATACTACATGACACACAAAAATTGATGTTTAGTGTTTTTTTAATATTTACTTTTAGATTTAGAAATTGAGTAATGTATAGTTCAAAAATTTGAATTATAATCTACAGTTTGATACCAAAGTTACTGACATAAATACATGAAATAGTAGTTCAATAAAATTTTGAATGCAAGTCACCAAACGGGAGGATATGGCCTCTCACCTGTGACCCATCTCGAAAGGGTTAAAGAAATACATAGTACATATATCATATACATATTTGATCAGCATTCTCCAAACTGTCAATTAATACTTGTAATGCAATTCTTATAACAGTCTCACTCATAATCTTTATGAATGGTAATTACCAACTAAAGTTACAAGTGTTGCATTAATGAAGATGTCTGTGTAGGTAACTAATAGGTTTGTGCATGAAATCATACAAGCTTCAATGTATCCTTGTCCCATCTGAGAGCATCTATGTGGTGGCCTGCATTTTCTTTTCCTTTTCTAAGGTTATAAAAAATAATGTCATATATCTTAATCATTTTGATAAATTCCTGTCCTGGGTTGTTGTTTGTTTTTTTGTGTGTAGAAGTTTTCCAAACACATAGGTATGTGCTTTTATGTTTTTTGGTCTTCTAAACACTCATGTTAGTTTTTTTGCAATTTGTAATCAACATTTTTTTGCTAATTTGGTTTTCTCTAATAGGAAATATTCTTATAATACAACTAATATAGTAAATATTAAAAAAACACTAAACATCAATTTTTGTGTGTCACGTGGTATGTTGAATGCAGCACTGGTTCAAATAAAATGTTTTTGAAGTGAAAATACTAAGTCTGTAGTTTTGTACAAATTAGAAACTCAAATTACCAATACTGACAAGCTAGAATATAAAATAAGATGGTGTTATCTTTTATATTTGCCAAGATATTGCTCACGTAATAAATCAAACACATTGGCACCCTACCCACCTCTTTCCATTTTTGGAAATGCTCACTTATATATATACTTACTTCTATGACATGAATAACCAATTGGAATGTCAGGATGTCCCCCTAGTGGCTTTCTCAGCCATTGTAATAGGCTTCAATGCCATTTCTTTCTTTGGAACCAAAATTTCAAGGAAGTAGGGTGGGTCTTTAGTTTGCTCAAAATTTCATATTTTTTTTACTAAAATACATCTTAGTTACTGAGCTTGATAAATTATAGTGAGATTCTATGGTATTGATGTAGTAATCTATGATTTTGTAGTTATTCAAATATATATATATATA